AAAGAAGAGCAATAGGTCCGACCCAGACTGTTCCGAAACCAAGTGCAGATCAGATTAATGAGTGCTACCTTATCAAGGCAGTTGAGATGAAGTGCAATTAATTATGAGATCACTTAATTATTCGACCGATATCTTTCCACACCCCAGAGTTACGAGCATGTCCATACTAATTGTGTCAGCGGAATTCCAAGAAAGCGTTGACTTGTGATGCTGATTGACTAGCTATCCGCCGCCCGGTGAGACTGTTGACTCGGGCACCTTGCGGCGTCGTGATCCAGCCAGCCCCACCAGCCCAAGTGAGAACTGTCAGCAAGGAGCGGCGGAGTTGTGGATATTCGGCTGGTGAGATTCCGGCTTTGTCAGGCCGGGCACGGGATTTGGCGTTGGTTCCGTCTCCGTTTGCATTAGGGAGGCGTAAAACCCGATGCATATCGCCGCTGCAACTGAAATGTGAATGCTTTCGGGGGGTGAAATTTGCGGTGCGGTCTGCACTGCAATTTTTAGCTCAGCGGAGGGCATTGCACTTGCTCAAAAAACAATGAATGGGGCGTAGACCTATCCTGCCAAGACTGAAATAAGAGACCTGGAATTGACCACTCAAACTCAACTTGCTCAGTTGGGCGAGATTACGTGCTGCACTGCAATTTTTAGCTCAGCGGAGGGCATTGCACTTGCTCAAAACATCCATTTGGACAGTGGGGCGCGGAGCTGATGCACAAAATCCAACAGCTGGGACCAAGCTTGACAGCTGCTGACGTCACCTGGATTTTCTCGGTGGCTTCCATCCGCAATCGCATGGCTGCTCGGAACTGTCGGGTGTTTTTCTCCCAAGCCTCAATTTGGCCGGCCACAACACACGTCCAAGGGCGGATCACTTGTGACAACAGGTTGTCGGCGGGCAAATTGGTCTGCACTTTGTTGATTTGCCCCACGCGACACAAACCGAATCAGCGCACAGAGCAGGCGCCGCACTCACTGATGGGCTGGCCGCGGAAATCAGGCGTGGGCCAATTGGAGGCGGGAGCGGGGTGCTGATCTCGCTGGGGCAATTCCGGCGACGAATCAGCCACGGGCCAGGGCACCTCAGCTGGGAAGCGTCCGGGAGGGCAAGGGTAGGCTCCAGTGGAAACCGCGACCGGCTCACTGGCCGCCGTTGGCACTTGCCTCAGTCGGCACCAAATCGAAGAGGCTTCCACGTGTTTTTATTTTTGTTTCTGCGCTAGCCACCAACATATGTTTATTCCGGATCTCCCCAATGCGTGCTGCGTGCACCTGTTTGCGATCATTTTCTTCCCCTTTCTGCCGCCCGCGGCGCAGAGCCGATCACTGGGAGACAAGTTGAAGGTTGGTGTTGCAGGTGAAGCTGGAACCTGCCCTGGAAACCCGGAAAGCTCGGTCTTTTTGGCGGCACAAGCGACCTGTTTGTTGCAGCTTCCAGGCACTGCAGTCACTGTTCCAGCGGCGAAGACGACCGCGCCTCCCTGGCTTGGCCACAGACACGCCACCCACAGAAGAGTAACGACACCACCCAAGGGGCCTTTCGATGACGACCAACAGCACCGGAACGCGGAAATCCCCGTCCCCATGGCTTTGCTTCTCTCGCTAGCCCCGAACTCGACTTCTTGGACGAGGTAAACCCCCGTATCGCCCATGAGCTTTCAAGCATCCACCATCAGCGTGAACGTGAACGTGAACGTGAACATGTCCGAGTCACAGCCTTTGCAGCACATGATGGTGAACTTGAGGACACCGCCTCGGTCTCTCAACAACCGGTCAAAATTACCACCCATGGACCTCGATGCCTCGGCCGACCCCAAGAAGATGGACCACAGGCGGGGCCACTCGCAAGCCAGGCAGCCTCCTCTGCAGCCAAGAGACCTAGTCCGGGCTTGGGACTCCAGACCGGCCAGCACATCTCGCTCGAGCCGGCCATCGAGCATAGCTTCCTCGTCACCACCTGGCCGAGAGCAACGGCTATCCAGCGTGCTCGTGCCCAAGCCACCGTCGATGCACTGTCAAACGGCCAGCATAACAACCTCTTCCTCGAATCGGTGGAGCAGTCGGTCCCAGCAGCGCGAGAGCTATTCGTCCCGTCTTGCATCCATGAGGAGGGATGCCGCTGAGAGCACGGCAGACAGCCAGGGTCGTCCCTCAATGGCCCCAAATGACGCCCAGAAGCCCGGCCAGATGGCGCTTGGAGTTACCCAGAACCCCGATGACGGCCTGGTCTCGGAGATCTGCCACTCAATTGTGAGAGACCGGTACAGCACGGATCTGGACAGCTCAACCAAAGCCTTGAGGATATGGAATGCCGTGGCCGCATGTCTCGACGAGATCAGCGACTCCATCGAGGGCACCTCATCCGAGGACACGCTCGTGAACGGCCGCCATGCTCGGACTGCAACCCGCACGAGGAGTGCCGGACGGATCAGCTATGACCGGGATCCTTGGCGCGGACGGTCATCGGGAGATGGCGACTTATCCAACTCTGGCCATGAAAAAGAGACGATAGAGGCTCCGGCGTCTGAGGAGAGAGTGCAGTATCAATGTCCGTTTAGGAAGCGGAACCCGGTCCGGTTCAATGTCCGTGATCACGAAAGTTGTGCCAGGACCCCGTTTCCCTCAATATCTGGCTTGAGGTAGGCGCCCATTGAGATTGCCCTTCGGTTAGGCCCTCGCTAACAGGCCGTTCCCAGACACCACATAATCGCACACCATCGGCGCCGCAGGGTGTTTCGGTGTCGGCGATGCAGGTCGGATTTTGAGAGCGAGGCTGCACTTGACGGCCACATCATGCAGCCCCGAGAGCACATGTGCGAACTTCGGTCTGCACCAGTGAGCGATGACCCGGAAGATGGAGTCACCGATGCCGTCTATCAGGTGTTGGCTCGTGAGAAGGACGAGTTTGCGGGCTGGACCTGGGAGAAGTTATGGCGCGCCATCTTTCCCGGGAGCGAAGAGATCCCCAACTCAGGTGAGCGACAATGAGCCAGCTCCGCGCCGCGCTTTGAAGAACTGGTTACTGACTCTTGCTGCGCAGACTTCCTCCCAGTCACCGAGCTCGTCGAGTTCGAGCAAGAGATGGCCAAGGACCAAGAATCGCTCAAATCAGAATTGCAAGAGAAACTGAGGCTCTTGCTCCCAAACAGCATCGAAGACGACTACTGCCGCTTTTTGGCAGGGCAGCTCGAGTTTGTGTTTGAGACACACCAAGCCAACGTCACGAGGAAATGTCTCAACAAAGTAGACTCGACAAGAAGTGAGCAGTCGGCCGCGACCAGGACGAGACCAAACTCAACACAACAAGAAGGCGTCCTGAAGCGGCAGTCCCGCAGGTCACGGCAAAGCACGCTCTTGCAAACCACTGTAAATTCTGGCGGGCACAAGAGAACGCCGAGTAACACGTCGGACTCATCCCGAAGGCAGGGCAAACGGGGACCGCGAGACGACCAAACTGGCCACCCTACCAATTCCACCCGCCGACTGCCTTCACTCTCTAACATGCTCCGCGGCGCCAGCCAGTCTCCACCATTACGAGTAGCGGCAGTAGCAGGAGCAGCAACGAGCTCCCCCGGTACCATGTCGTCGTCGTCGAACACGGCCTTCGACAGCGACAACAACGACGTGATGGACTGCAGCGCCGACGACTACGCCAACGGCCGCGACTCTCGCGACTCGGGCATCGGCATCCCGTGCGACGTGTGCGAGATGGAGACGTGCCGCTGCCGCGAGATGATCCTGTCGTATGTTGCCGAGGACAAGGGCCGCGAGGTCCAGGCTGACGACCGCAAGCCTCGTGGCCAAACCCAAACCCTTCAGAAATCCTCATCACCACCGCCGCCGCCACCAACAACATATGCAAGTCAGAAAACAAAAGAAGCAGCATCAACTCTCTCCCTCAGACGCCAAACCAACCTGCGCATTAAAACTGGCGGCACTGGGTTCCGCGCAGCAGCCCTAACGGACGGCGACGAGGACGGCGAAGTCTTTGGCCCCGGCGGTGGCGGCGCCTTCTCCCCGCAGTCATTCAAGCAGCGGCTGCTGAGGAAGCAGCACACGCCGTCCTATGGCGCCGCGCAGATGACCAGCTGGACGGCTTAACGCCGATATTTCGAGATACTAAACTGGCTTGGAATTTATCCTGAGCTTGTTGTGTTTTTGTGTGTTATATTTTTCGTATCAACAGCATGAGCGGCCGGCGGGGAAACTGCACTGCCGGAACTCTTCTCTTTCCCCTAAATAAGGGGCTGTATTCCTGGGAGCGGGTGTTGCAGTGGGATTTTGAACACCTGGTGGTTGTCCTATCCATATTGATGTTGGTATTTTCTTTTCGCATTTTTTTGGCAGGCTTGGAATTTTCAGGTCGCGTTGCATAAGGTGGGTATATACATCGGGAACTTAGGGGAGCACGCAATCTGTCGAGTATTTATATAAACACTGGTGGGAGAGGGAGGAAAATGGGGTGCAATGATAATCGTTGGTTTATCGCCTGAACACAATCCGTTTTCTGGGTTGCTCTGCAAGCGATGTTGTGCTGCCTTCTGTTGCCAAATACATCGCTCGGATTATGGTTATTTTCCATTTATCGGGATGTATTATTTGCACATTGCGTCAGATATCGACACGGTTGTTACAAAATATTTGGCTCGGCTCAGGGGCTCACTCATGGGGGCTGTTTGGTGTCCTTGCAGAGCACTGGCCAAAATGTCGATCCGGTTGGGGAGCAACTCGCGCCAGCGCCCTGCCTCAACAGCGAGCGAGGGGTTCAAAAACACCAAGCCAATTCTGATTTGGTAAACTCAATTGCGATTCATCTAACGGTATTTCGTTAAATGCGCAACATTTTGTCCGTTTTTGCAACAGCTTCACCAGGCACCAAGGCTTCAACAGTCAGCCCAGCCCAGTCCAGCGCAACGGACCCACACCAGGCAGGTAGCAAACCTCACCAAGACTTAAATAAATGGGCCATTTGCGACCATCTTGTCCAATCAAATAAGAAAGGGACCATGGCGCAGCTGGTTAGCGCGCAGGTCTCATATTACCCACATATGATCTGGTTAAACATCAGAGTTATCCTGAGGTCGTGAGTTCGATCCTCACTGGTCCCAATCCGATAAACCCTTTCCTTTTGCGCCCTTTTTGCTTTTTGCTGAACTAAGTTGTGGCTTGGGTCTGCATCTGTTTGTGGAACTTGCAAGACGGGCTGGTTAGTTATCTCTCTCTTGGATTCGTTGACTTTGCTTTTGCCCTAGAAAGTTTGAGACGGGCGACTGTTGGTTGGTGCTGCACTTCTGAAGCAGACAGCCCCGTGGAGAATAAATTACTTTCGACAAGGACGCTGGCATTGCTGGGTTTTCCTGGCACCCGCGGACTTTCCAGGCAGCTTCAGTTTCAGAGAACGCCACACCTTTTTGCTCCCGGACTCAATCTTGCATTATAGAAAAGTTGCCATGAGAATTGGCAAACCATCAACTTTCTTCTGTTCGGGAATGGGGCGGTTCAGGCCCCGGGCTCTCGCGGGTCCCCAGCGATCCCCAGCGGTCCAACCCGGAGCGGGGTTGCGGGGCGCGAGCCTGCTGGGCCTCGAGGGGGGGGCGAAGGGTGTGGCACAACGGCGGCACAGTTGGGTTCGGGCTGAGTGTGATGGGTGTGCCGTTGTTGGTGCGCTACTGCAGTGGAAGGCTCTAAAAAAAGAAAGAATTGACGATCGCTCCCGTCTTCAGCAGCCGTGGGGCAGCAGCCGACCAATCGATCGCAGCCGGCTTGTCCCAGGAAAAAACAATGGGATAGCGCAGCAAAATGGCAAAAAGAAGTTTCTCCTCGAGCGGAATCGAGCCGCTGACCTTTCGGTATACAAATGTTCATTTACAGCCGAACGTGATATCCAACTACACCACAAGGAGATGGATGCTTTGCGCTGTTGTTGGAGACCAGCGGAGAAAACTCTGCTGTTGTGAGGCTTTCTCGGCGGGTTTCGCTCCACCTCCACCTCCCTCTGCCCTGGGTCGCACCATTGCCTCGCAAATAGCCCATTTATGTAGGTGTCTGGGTGGGGTTCGTTGCGCTGGACTGGGCTGGGCTGACTGTTGAAGCCTTGCTGTGGATCTGATGCATCGCGTCACAAGCCAGACCTCTACGTGTGCCAGGCGAGGCTCCGCCAAAATAGCCACAACAACGGTTCCAAGCTTGGGGCGACTGGGACACGGTCGAGCAGACTCGGACCCTAAGGCCTGAAGGCGTGTATTTTGGGACGACGACATGTGAGACGACATTTTGTGCGACAACAGCATCGCAGCGCCCTAGAGAGGGAGTTGTAGGTTGGTTACCTTTGGACCCTAAACCGCAGGTGGAGTTTGGAGTTATCCGCCCACCACATGTCCGCTGTGAGCTCAGTGTTGGATAAATCCGTGAGAAGAAGGGCAGTCGGGCCTTTGCGACATCGTAATGAATGCTGCAGGACAGAATATTAACTTCTGCGACAGCGTGCTTGTGGAAGAGTGCACTTTATCTCTGAGCGAGGGAGAGGCTTTGTAGCCCCCAAAGTCGGGTTTCCGATTAGAAGGCTGATCAAAAAGCTTCCTTTTGCGGAAGCTTTGCCGTGGGGCTGTTTGATGTTCTGCACCTGCACCCCTGGCGGACAGTTGGCTCGAGGGCTGGCAAGAACCCGGGTTGCTGATTCGCTCCTGCCTGACAAGTTGGGATTCCAAACCTGCTGCCTTGGGATCTGGCTTGCAGCAGGCTCGCGGCGACGCATCCTAAATTTGAAACGGGACCTGCTAAGCAGCGTGAGGTGATGCTGTGCCACAGGCATCAAGGCCTGTTTTCAGCATCCAATTCAGCAGGCCCGTTCTCAGCAAGCACCCAGCTGCGGCGGAGATAGCGCACCGCAAGGCCAATGGCCGTCGTTTGCTGCCCACCCACGCAGCACCACGCTGATGGCACAATTCCGTGTTGGACCCGACACCCGCACCTACCTCACAAACCTAAGCAATGGAACTGCGGCGCGCCCGTTTTTGGGCTGCACTTCCGATTGATTGACTGGCTGCCCGACTGGGGGTCGTCTTGGTTGCTGCTGACCCCAGCAGCCATCAAGTTCAAGCTCAAGCAAGCACCCGACAGCAGCCAGGACCCAGATCCTAATTAACAGTGCATGGGCACAGAGCTGTGCCTGCCAGCCCCCGACTGGGGGCATTCCCGCACGCCGCACCAGATCTGACGCCGCACGCCGCCCATATTATAGACCAGGCCTCGCCCCGCCACCATGGCCGCCGCGACGAGCCGTGAATGTGCTTCGACAAGGTCGGACGAGAAACGCTTCAACCTGGCGGCGCTGTTGCTGTTGGCAACTCTGTTTCCATCCTGACTCGCGTCGACTCACCCACCGCCAGACTGGACCCACGACACCGTCTTAGCTACTACCTGTCTCCAGTCGCCGCCTTTCGCGCCTCCTCCTCCCCTCCTACTGGGAAGGAAGAGGTACCCGCTCGTAACGGAGGAGTTGCGAGAGAGGCCGTCGTCCTTGGCCAGCCAGGCCCGGTCGCCCCTCGCCGGCCTCGAGCGAGCGAGCTCTTCGGATCACAAAGATGGGCGCATACATTTCCAGCTCAACGTGCAGTGCATTCTACGGCATTACGCCCAACTGCACTGTTGTGCTGTCCCCGCAGGACCAGGCCAAGGCTCTGTTCCTAGGCGGCAACGCTCCTGGGGATTTTGAGTCTGATCCCGACATTGCGGGCATTGGTGTACGTATTGCTCTTGTGCTTCAAGGCTGCGCCCTATGCAGCACTGGTAACAAAACAGTAGCTAACAAGCTGCCACAGGTCCTTGGTGCCTTCCTCGCCGTCACCCTCCTCTCGTTGCTTTTGTCGATCGCCAGTACAATATGGTGGTTCTCAAAGAACATCTTCCGGTGGACAAGAAAGCTTGAGGAAGAGTATGTTCTATGTCGTTCCTCGGTCGTGGCTGACTGCGAGGACCATGCCGCAGAACGATAAACGCTAACCTGATCTCAGGCACAAGGAGACGAAGAAATGGCAGCTCAGCGTGGCCGGCCTCCTCGAGACGCTGATCCTAACCTGCTCTGATCAACAGATCTTCACGGGCGGGGCCTACGCCATAACCCTGCGCTATGTCAAGGGGTGCGACATCTCGGCATACCACTACAATGTTGTCGCTAACATGCTGCTCGTCACATGTGCCACACATTTGATGGCGGTCACGGTGTCCAGGCACTACTGGGAGCACCCCTGGGTTGGCGGCCTGAGGGTTATCGTGACGACGCTCGTCTATCTCGTCACGGGCATCCTCCTCTCCAACCAGGGCTCCGGGTCGCTTGGCTTTCCCACCCGGGTCCCCGACCTGAAGGAACAATACAGCCCCCTGCTGCTACCGGCCGCCTGCTTCCAGACCGGCGACTCAGGCTTTGCTAAGTCCTTTAGCCAGTCCTTTACGTCGAGCAGCTCCTTCTTCGGCGGCCGCATCCCCGGCTGGACCCAGTACCTGGTCATGTTCATCTTCTACGCCCTTGCCGTCTTCATCAACCTCGGCCGCCTCATCCGCCGCGGCACGGGCCACGACGGCAGGCGACGGAGAACGGTAAATTGGATGAAGCGGTCGTGCGCTCCCCTCTTCCGAGCCAAGAGACCCCTTTACTGGCTCTTTGGCGCCTATCTGGTTGGCGGGATTGGTATTGCCTCTTGGACCGTCGTCACGTCGGCGCAGTATGTGCTCGAGCTCCGCAACTGGGTCGACAAGTCTGGCTGGTATGTGCTTCCTTCTCCTGGCCCGAATCTACCATGCCATCTCAATTTTGTTTGTGATCCCAACCCTAACCACATTGTTGTAGGATGGACTTGGAACATGGACGGAATCCCGAGAACGATCCGTCAACCTTCGGGCAGCTGGTTCCAGTGCTGCTGATCACACTCATCATCTTCACGTTTCTCCAAATACTCAGCGGTAGGTTTCTTTCCATGCGTCCCTTCGTCCTTCGTCGCTAATTAGTATGCCCCACCACAGAGAAACTACGGGAGCGTAGTAGAGCTAGGCATCTCAGAGACTTGGGCGGGCGGTCACCCGAAGACAACACACTGGTGCAAGTCTACTCGAGGGATCAATCCCCGCCCGAACCTCGCTATCTCGACAAGTCGATCATCGGCGTGGCCATCAGCGAGCCCGAAGACCTGGACCACATCGCGACGATTGACGCAGGCGGCACGGCAGCCCATGCACGGAGCCAGAGCCGAGGCAGCCAGTCGCGGGGCCGCAGCACGACGCCGCTATCGCGACCCCTCACAAAGCCGCCCATTTACAGCATGTTCCCGACCAACACCAGCAGCCCGCTGGGGAGTCCGCAGACGGGCGGCTCCGAGACGCCGCCGCCCCCACCAGTCCCGAAAAAGAGCCGCTCTCGAGACTTCAAGCGGGGCGAGTTGTCGACTCCCACGACGCCGAGCGAGGACGAGCAGCGCGAGGTGCGGCCCAGCCAGTCGCGGGGCAACCTGCGGAGGAACATCGCCAGCCCCGTGGACGACATCACACCGCTGCAGCAGAGCGAGGCCAGGCCCGGGTCGAGCCACTCGCGTGCTGACACGAGGAGGAACCTGACGCCCATCGTCACCGCTGCTGCTGACGACCAGCAACAACACGAGCTGCGGCCCAGCCGGTCGCGAGATTTCCGCAAGAACCTGGCCACGCCCGCAATAGACCAGTACTACCAGCAGCCGGAGCCAATGCCCCCGAGGCCAAGAGACGTGCGTAGGAACGGCATGGCGAGTCCGACCGAGCAGCTGGGGCTGAACCTGGACCGGATATGATGGCGGGGTTGGGGTTTTTGGGCATTTCCATATCTTGAGCATGGGGGAATGGACAGGACTAGGACTATGGGGAACTCGGAATAATACCAAATCAGGAGGATAGGAGGAAAGGAATAATCGGTACAGTGTTTTGGGCTTTTCTTGTTTTTACTTTTACTTATTTTGCAAAATATTGGATAGGGGCTGGTCATTGGTCACACGGACTTGAGTCCATTATTCCATTAAAAAATAATCCATTTTTTCCTCTACCTTTGGCAGTGTTCAGACTCAGTGACGTCTACTCTCTTGACAAC